GGATGGGGATCGGGGTCGGGGCTGGAGGAGCGGGATCGGGATTGGGATGGGGAGTAGGACTGGAAGAGGGAGATTTGGGATCTGGAGCAGGGCTGGAAGAGCGGGATTGGGATGGGGATCGGGGCTGGAGGAGCGGGATTTGGGAGGGGATCGGGACTGGAGGGGCGGGATTGGGATGGGGATCGAGGCTGGAGGAGCGGGATTGGGATGGGGATCGGGACTGGAGGAGAGGGAGTGGGGTGGGGATCGGGGCTGGGGGAGCGGGTTTTGGATGGGGATCGGGGCTGGAGGGGCGGGATTGGGATGGGGATCGGGGCTGGAGGGGCGGGATTGGGATGGGGATCAGGGCTGGGGGAGCGGGATTGGGATAGGGATCGGGGCTGGAGGGGCGGGACTGGCATCAGGATCGCGGTCGGGGTCGGGGCTGGGGGAGCGGGCTCGGGACGGGGAGCGGCAGCGGCGTTTCCCCGCCCGGCCGCTGCGCGGCGCTGCCGCGGGAGGCCCGCGCGGCCCGGCTGCCCCGCTCGCCCCGGCCGCTCTGCCCCGCCCGGGCCGCGCTGACGTTGGACAACAAAGATGGCGGCGGGGAGCAGCAACTACTGGGAAGGCGAGTGGGGCGGGGGGCGCGGGCTCGGGGCGTGCGGGGCCCTCCGGGGCACGGCCCGGGCTCGGCACGGCGGCACCGCCGCCGGGACCCCTCTGCTCTCTCCCGGGCGGCGCCGGCCTGTCAGCCGTGAGGCAGCGGTGCCCGCTGAATGAACCCCGCGGCCCCGCCGGACCTCCCGGGGCCGCGGGTGAGGGGCTGTGGGTGTCCCTCCCATCGGCGTGGGGGCTTCCCCTGAAACGCGAATTTTGAGAAATTTAGGGATTTTAGGGGAGCTAAGATTTTAGTTAGAGATAAGGCATACTAGAGTTAATTAAATGAGTAGGCCTTGATGAAGTTAAGAGTTAGTAGTTAACTAATAATTGATTGCTCGTCAGCACAATGTTTAGTTAGCTGGGTTTATAATGAAGAATATAGAAACTGACAAATAGCTTTTAGGAGCATAAGACCATTGTGGGCCTCCTCTGTTCTGAAACCAACTGAAGACAAGGAATGGGAGTTCTACCAAGAGTTCATTTGTCATATTTGCATTGAAAAGGTAGAGAGGTTAGAACGAGGATGACTTCATTGACTTCCTCATTTTGGGACCCCTCCCCATGAAAGGGACACCGACCCATTTCAAAGAACAAACCACACATGCTTAATAGCTTTTGAAATTATCAGCATACGAAGCAGGGAATGGGACGTACCAAAATGATGAACATGTATTTGTATTTTGGGTATTCAATGCTTGTATGGATAAAAGGGCTCTGTAATCACCTGGAAGCTGCGGTGTGTATTTGGGAGGTATCCTACGCACACTTTCTAACTTTAAACTGCTAGAGAGCTTTTGTCCGTCATTGGATATCGATACTAGATCAATATCCATATTTTTTAATAAATCACCCCAGCCACGGGGGTTCCCTCTCCCCTGTGGGTGTTTCTGTGTGGGAAGCGCCCCGGCGGTGCGGGGTCCCTGTGCGGGTCTGTGACTGTCCCTGCCCTGCAGATCTCAGGAAGCAGGCGAGGCAGCTGGAGAACGAGCTGGACCTGAAGCTGGTGTCCTTCAGCAAGCTCTGCACCAGCTACAGCAGCAGCCGGGACGGAAGGCGCGACAGGTATAGGTACTAGCCCGTTTCTTTATATTTTAAATGCTGCCTGGGGTGCTTGGTGTGGTTTTATCTTTTGCTGCGTGCTGCTCCCACCTGTGGCTCTTTAGGTTTGGCTCCTTGGGAAGCTCTCAGCGCTTCTTGCTGCTGGTGTTGCTCCTGATGTGATGTCAGCGTGTGAGTCAGGCTGGGGGTGACAGGTCACTGGGGAAAGCTGGATTTAAACTTCGTTCTGTGTGGGATCAGTGAGCTTTTTATGCTGGCTTCATTTTGAGTTTTTCTTGTATTAAACTAACAGGAGGTTTTCAGGGACTTCAGTACTAGGGGAATTGAATTTAGCTTTACACCTCCCAGGTGGGCTGGTGTGCTTTTTGTGAGCTTTTCCCTGCAGTTCCACAGCTCTCTGTCCATTTACAGACTTTTCTTTGCTTATTAACTGCATTCGTTGTGCATGTTGCTGCTTTAGGTATATGTGTGGATATTTTTCTATTTTATTTAATTTAATAACTGAATCCATTTTGTACCTCTCCCTCAGTTGGCAGTTCTGGAAGCCTAAGAGCACCTCAGCAATAATCATGTTACTCCTGAACATCCCTAATTTCACTTTTGTTTCTGCCTCTGTGCTGTTACTTGTCATGTAATCGTTTCCATTATTTTTGCTGTCCTGTGCCAAGCTTACTTCTCTTACTCAAAGCAAATTACCAGAGCCCTGAGTAGTCTCTGAGGGGTGTTAGTTGCCACAGTTCTGCAGGCGGGGCTGACATGTGATTTTCCTTGTGGTTTCAATTTAGAAGCAAATAGGGAAGGTGTGTGAAACTAATTGTGATAAGTGGTGTGGCCTGTGTTGCTCTGTAGGACATTGATTGCTGAATAGGTCACAGGGTTGTCCTAACACTGTTTTACTAAGCTGTGATTATATTGCTGGAGTAACATGCTAAGAGTGCAGTGCTTTCTCCTGTCAGTAAATAAATAAATCAACCTTAAAAGTTGGGGGGAGGAGGACACTGGTACCACACAGGTGTGTAGTGTCAGGCATTTATTCCCAGGAGAGGTGGTATTTCCTGTAGGTGATGCTGTATCATCTGTTCAGATAAAGGCATACAGAATCAGAAAATGTAGTTTTTTCAGAGTTTATTTAATCTCTAGCAAAGCTGGGTATAGTGGAGCTTTCCAACCCCTGTCACTAGTGTTATTTCTGGCACTCATGAAATGATGCAACTTTTCAGTAACTGCTCGTCCTCTTCTCCTTAGCTCTGACACAACTCCTCTATTAAATGGATCAAGCCAGGACAGAATGTTTGAGACCATGGCTGTGGAGATTGAGCAACTTCTGGGAAAGGTAACTCGAGTTACTTTGGGTTTATTGCAGCATTTAGGCAGTATCCCAATCCGGATTTCTGCAGCGGATGCTAGGCAATCCCAGTGCGGCTGTTAGACAAGGTGTGCATGTCTAGCTGCCTCCTTCAGCTCGTGCATTGTAGTTTTCTTGCAAGAATAAGCCATTTGACATTTTCTGGGGTGTTTTTTCCTCCTGCAGCTGACTGGGATAAATGACAAGATGGCAGAGTACACCAACAGTGCGGGCGTGCCGTCGCTGAACGCGGCGCTGATGCACACGCTGCAGCGCCACAGGGACATCCTGCAGGTAACAAAGGGGCCTCCTCCCTGCCTTTGGGTTCTTTCTTGGGCTAAAATAATTATTATTATCTGTGCTGGTATCACAGCATGCTGGAGTGTCTCACCAGGAGGTGTGAATGCCACTGGTTCCATCTCGCTTTCCTTCTCTCCAGGCACCTGCTGAACTCTGAGTTGAAGAAAATTGAGCTTTTTGTGTCATTGCTGACTAGAACTTAGCTGAGAAAGAACAATAAAGGGTGCTGCCTTATGTGGGTGGGTTTTATATAGCAAAAGGGGAAATGTAGTGAATTACCTTGTCTGTGTGGTTTGTCATGTAACAATGTGCAAGGGAACATCACACTTCAGAAAACATGATTGTAAAAGCTCCTAATGTTCTCAAGGGAGATGAAGGAAATGTGATGGTTAAAGCTACCAGTCAGTGCTATAAATTAACCATGGTTTCATGGTATACTCCTATTAAAATGCATGGTTGTGTACCGTTTGATTTCTGTTTGGTATCTGTGCAATCCATACTCTGTGAAAAGCAATAGCAACCATTGTATGGATGGTTACAATGGCTTTGATGCACACCAGCTGCCAGTTAAATTGTGTTTTGAGAAGTACCACCTGCCTGAAATGGTTTAAAATGTAAAATTGCATCTTAAAAATAGCAGTCATCTTTATTGTTCAGAAAATACTTTTTTTATTAATCTGGTGTAACAACAGAATAAACTTAAGAACGTCTTCACCACACCAAAGAAGGAGGTTTTATTAGGGCTTCTGATGAGAAATTTCAACACAAACCAATTCATCAGAAAGGTGAGGATATCTGAAACTGGGAGAAGGAATTGCAATGGATTTCCCTCCACAGCTGTAGCTGCAGCCATCAAATTTAGCAACTACTCTAAGAGCAGTGAGTTTTAAGAATACTTTGGATTAATTTGCAGCATTTTTGATGTTAAATTCCTGAGTTGGTCTTGCATTTTGTATGAGAGAACAGCTGACAGTTTTAAAGGTGGGTGGATCTCCTGTGGGGGTACTGTGTTGCTCTGTTGACCTCAGGTCCCTAATTTTGGGATAACTGTTTGTTATTACAGGATTACACACACGAATTCCACAAAACCAAAGCAAACTTCTTGGCAATACGAGAAAGGGAGAATCTGCTGGGATCAGTACGGAAAGACATTGAGTAAGTTGTGTTTGCTACAGCAAAGGTGTGGGACTGTCCTCAGAGGGAGAAGGTGCAGAGAATGCTTGGCATAGCTCACGTGTCTGTGCTCTGAATAAAGCAAAAGTTCCTTGAATCCACAGTTCTCATTGAGGTTCTGCTCTGTTGGGTTTTAGGTCGTACAAAAGCGGCTCAGGCGTGAACAACAGAAGAACAGAGCTGTTCCTGAAGGAGCACGAGCACCTTCGGAAGTAGGTGTTGTTTCCCCTTTGCTTGTGTTGGAGCTGCCTGACTTTCCTGGGGGGTGAAACATCTGAATTTCATGCAGCTGGTTAAATGGCTTGTGCTGAGTGTGAGCTGTGTGGGGTAGGTAATAGTCATCGTAGTGTCAGTGACTGGGACTTTAGGATCTTGGCAGTGACAGTTTTGTGTTGTTTCCAGGGGCTTTTGCAAATCACTTGTGGCTCAGACCTCCTCCTCCCAAGGGAGTGGATGCCTTTCACTCTAACTGGGGTAAAGCTTAAGAAACTAAACTAATAAACTCCCATGATTTGGCTGGGTTTCCCTCTCCTTTTCTTTTGTCACTCAGACAGAGAAAAACCTTTTCTCCTTTTGTCTCTACTGAATGTGTACAAAAAGTGATGGAAGAGATTAATTCCTAAATTACCTTTGCACTTGAATATTTGCAAATTAATTCTAGGTTATCTAGCAGATAACATGCCAAATAGAAAGCACTTTGTTGTTTTTCCTGTTGCAGAGAGGGCATAAAGTTCTGAGTAGCTGCTTTGTGTGTCCTTGTTCAGCAAAAACAGCACAGGTGAGAGCAAGAACTGGAGGGTTTGTGGATTTTAGAGTCAGGAGATAGCTCTGGTCTTCCTGCCTCTCTCCTTGCCTGTAGTTGTGCTAAATCTCAGGCTCACACGAGAGGGCAGGCTTGCATTTAAAAAAACCAAATAAATAAATAATTACATGTGGCTTTCTTATGATGAAACTTACAGCCAAAACAGCACAAAAGACTTTTACAGGAAATTAAATAATTTTTTTTCAGTTGTGGTTTATCCTCAGTTTTCTGTAATATATTTAAAACTTAATTGATTGAAAGCTTGAATTAGGACTTCTATTAAGTATGATCTTGAAATAGAATGGTTAAATATTTCTGGAGTTGTAAAATACCCTTCTAAGAAACTTATATTACCCTGAGTCCATTACTTTAAAAAGTTTGCAAAAATTAAGAGCAGAAAACTTTATGCATTTTGTAAATATTTTCTGGCTGATGTCTTCAGAATTTGAGCCTAACATTTATTGAAGCATTGATTATTTGGTTTTTTAAATATACTAAACTCTGCAGTATGTTTACAGGATTAAAATGCATGAAAAATAAAGTTAAGGCAGTTTTAGAAATAGTTTAAAACCATCTGGGTGATTATTTGAAAATGTTAAGACTTGAGAAAAACCCACCACAACACTGAGGAAAAGAAAACCAGAAATAAGTGTGAGTTGGGGATCTTTAGTAAAAAGGGCCAAAACTAATCATGGGATACTCTGCAAGGTGGAGATAACTGGAAGGACTGTGAAAAAATCCAGTGTAAAAGAAGAAGACAACACTGGCAAGAAATCAAAGCTTGAAAAACTTTTGAATTGAGAATCAGTAAGCTCAGAAAAAGATACTGGCAGAGGAAATTATTAGAGACTTTCAACATATTTGTCTTCAGAGAAAGCAGTTGATGAGCTATTCATGCCAAAAAGCTGCAAAAGCTAAGAAAGGGTCCCAAGAAATCACCAGGAGCTGGCAAATTACACCAAATATGCTCCTAGGATAAATTGACAAGCTTTGTGTGAGTCATGATGCTGAATATTTGTAGTGCAGTAAATCCTGGTGCCAGACTAATTGACAGAAGCAGATGATGAATATATTTACATGAAGACACAGGAGTAAAAATCCAAATGTTTTCAATGGAGTATAATCTATGAAAAAAGCTTGAAAAACACACACAGGAATATAAACTTTATCATGTATATATTCTCCAAAGCAGTGTAATAAAGCCACAGGATTTACATATTCATGTCAGATATTGGCGCATTTACTTGGTCTTGACCCTGCTTAATTTAATATATTACATATATTATTATATTAATCTATTACATATTTATTGCATGGTCTGATAACAGAATGTGTGAACTGCTACCCCACTGCTGAGTGCCAGACTCTTCTGTCAGCCTTTTCCTTCATGCACAACCATGTGAAACAGGATAAATTCTAAACATTTATTAGCAGGTAATAACATGGTTATAAAGATCTTTTAGTGACTCTGTGATCTCGTTCTCAAAATGTTTTTAAATATCTCAAGATGCCAAAAAACTTGTCAGATTTCTTTCCAAAAAATACCTGCAACAATTAAAACCTCTCCAGATATCTTAGGCTGGACCTGAGGCAGCAGCATAAATCTGAAGTGGATGTTAACACAAACTGGGGTTTGCTCTTCAAAAAGCTGCAGTTTGGGATTGTTTGTGGGGTATCTCACTGGGGAGCAACAAGAGAAACAAGAAACTTCTGCTTTTTGCCTCAATCTGCCTCTTTAATTTTTGTGTCACATTGTGAACACCACAAAGAAGATCCTCTTAATGCTGCACATGTAGGTAATCCTCAAAAAGGAGAGGAAATGAGAAATCTGTGATTTTCATTCAGATGCTGATGCATGAAAGGTTCCAACACACATTAGGCAGAAGGGAGTGACAAAAAGCACTGTGCAAACCCTGCCTGTGCCTGGCTTTCCATTAAGCCACGAGGATCCTGGATCCATTTGGCCTCCCTTTGGCAGGGTGGGGCTGGCTGCTGTGTCAGTGCTGCTGGCAGCACTGGGGATTCCCACCTTGGAATCCCCATGGAGCTGGGGCAGCCCTCGGGGAGGGGGCCCTGTGCTGAGGGTGAGACAGAACACATTCTATTCCTTTCCCCTCAAAAGCTTCACTGCTGCTCAGTCCATTTTATAAAGCAGCTCTTTGTTGGGAAAGGAGATTTGTCTAGAAATTCTGCTGGCTGTGGATAAGAGGCATGAAGTTCCCAAGTCTCTCAGTTTCCTGTCTAAGTTATAGACAGGTAATTCAAGAATAGCTTTACCAACCACTGGAGAAATGAACCATAGCACCTATCTTTTTAATAAAAAAATAACCCTATTAATTAAAATAAAATTGGCAGACAGATGTTGTTGAGCATTGATGCCTGATACCTCAGATTTCTTGGCATGTCACATGCTTAAAGAAATACCCGATCTAGCGTGGTCATGTTTGCTGTCCATTTCTGAAATCTTGTTTTCTTGTGTCTCTGCCATTCCATAAAGGTATTTAATCTTCTGTGCTTTTGGCCAGAGGTACAAACAAGTCATCCTTTTTCTTCTAATGCTGTTTTCCATCTAAAGAAAACAATTTTGATGAATAGCTCTAGCTTAGCATTTTAAAAACTGCTCTGAAAAGTGCTGCCTCAGAGGAAACAATTCTGTTGTTAACTTAGAGTCTGCCCTGAGAAATTCTGCAGTTATTGATGAGTTATAGTCTAAATCAGCAAAAAAGGAACTAATGTCCTTGATTAAATTTGCTATATTGTGTGTGTGTACTAGTGAATATCTCCCTTGTCTTGTAGGTGAGTGATACCAGGGGGTACTGGTGAGTTTGTGTGAAAATTGTTGAAATCTTCAGAAGTTTAGATTACAGATTTTATTACCTATGATGAATTCCTTGTAAAACGAGGTGAAAACACACCAATCCTGTCATTGTGGGGCAACTGTGTGATTATTACTTTATTACTCAGCTCCAGCACTCCAAAATTAGTCATTTTTCCCTTTCTAAAAGAAGTGGCTGGTGGTGAAGCAGGTGCCTGTGTGGTGCAGATATCATTAGCTGTGTTTTTAATTGTTGTCAGGTGGCTGCATGTTTCTGCTGAGTGTTGCTATGCAGCCTGTGAATCTATCCAGTAAATTTTTTTATAAATCCTCCTAGTTGGAGTCTCGTGTGTGAGTGGTGCAGTTAGGTGAGATGAACCTGCTGCAAGTGTTCAGACACCCCTGTGTGTGTTAAAATGTTCAAAACTGGCACAGAGAGGGCCAGGCTGCCAGAGTAGGTGGGTAAGGAACTTTTTTTGAAGGAGGAAAAAGAGGAGAGCAAACAAATCAGAGGGAAGTGTGCTGCCTGGGAAAGAGAAAAGAGGAATAAAAGAAGTGAGCAAAAGAAATAACAGGAACCTGCAGCAGGTTCCTGTTATGGTGCTAATTAATAATACATACCTGAGATGATGAGGAGAAATTAATGTTTGTGCAGTGCTTCATGTATGTGGAGTACTCTGGAGTAGTAAACACTTTTATTGCTCTCATTATGGTATTTGGTTATCAGCAGAACTGTTTCAAATTTCCTGCTGTTGTTTGGGCAGAAAAGGGCACACTGAGTAGAGAATAATCACCAGGAAAACTGCTTCCAAACTTTGTTGGTGGTACAGGCAAGATCTTAATGGAGGGAGAGACTTACTGACTGTTCTTCCTCTAAATATTTTCTTTCCTGACAAATTTTCACTTCAGCACTAATCTGCAGAGAGAAATCAACTCAACAAAATGCAGAGACACCTTGCAGCGTTTTTGATTACAGGCGATGTGATCTTTTGGGAGAAAGCTGCCAGTTTTCTACCTGAATAGAATTTCTTTTTCTTTTGTTGTCCCTGTTCTCTGTTCTGCATGCCCTGGTTTCCATTCACTGTGCAGTTCTGCTCGGGTTCCTGTGGATTTCAGTGGAACTTGAGGGTTGGATTAAGACCAGAGAGCTGAGGTTGCCTCCCTTCCCATCTCCTCACCAATTTCCAGTTGCAGAGGACACACAGTTGCCTGGGCAGGAACTGTTCCAGCTGACACACAATTTACCACTGCATCTTCTTCATCTTCTCTTGGGAACAGAGAATGCAGAAAAACCATCTAATTCACCAAGTCCTTTTTCCATCCCAAGGTGGCTGGGGAAGCAGCAGGGAGGGAGGAAAGTGATGAGCCCTTCCCTGGGTGCCTGCTGCCTGCCTGCTCTGCAGCCTCAGAACTGCTGAGCTCCACTTTACTCAGGCCCAGTAAGGGTTTGTGGTTTTTTTTTTTGTTTGTTTGTTTGTTTTGTTTTTTTTTTTTAATTACCAAACTTGCCTCTTAATTAAACTGTTTTTTTTGTTCGTGTCAGAGCAGAATGCAGTGTTCTTGTGGTTCCATTCTCTTAATTTGAATGCAGATTT